TATATATATATATATATATATATATATATATATATATATATATATATATATATTCCGACCGCCGCTTTTGACCGATCTTTATTTTCCCATTATCAAAACGAGCAATCTCTACAATCTCCTTCCTATGAAGTAATATCTGTCGCACAATGATACCTTCGTTTCAATCCGTCCGTGATACCTGATGGTGCTGAGAATCCAATAAAGACTATAGTCCGCCATCATGTGGATGCAAATTTTCAAAGTTGCCAAGCCCAAAAAGACGGCTGATTTCGCGAGCTTTACTTTTTCCACCTTGATCAATGTCACGGACGTCAGTGGGATGTATTGATTTCTCTCGCGAGGGTTTAACGGTAGGACGGTCTCCTTGTCCTGCCGCGTCCTCACTAGGTCTATGGTGCGCAAATCGTCGGTCAAGTATCGATTGTCGAATCGTTCGCTCGTTAGCCACTTGTATCGATAATGCATGACTCTGTAAAATGTCTCCATTTATATCGTATTATCGCGGATTGTCGAGATGACGCTTGAGATGCTTTACCTCAGCAACATGAATAACACGAAAAACGCTGTCAGAAAGCTCATCCAGTCGAAAACGGCTAAAAACTTGTCGGTTCTTGATCGAACCTCGCCGATTATATCGGCAGATATATCCTCGATAGTTTTACTCTGGTTCGTTTCCAAGTGGAAAGCGTGAGAGAATTTTACTTTAACATAAAACATTGCCTTCACGTGGCGAGCGAACCTTTTGATTTCTGCACAAAAGAGCGAGGTGGTGTTTGTGGATATATTTTAAGTGTAATATATATTCTCGTATATTCATATATTATATATTCTCATCAATAGTATACCAGCGATCATACAAATTCGCCAACTACTATGCGTAACTATGCGTGTGCAACGTACTTTTGCGCACAGCGTCGACTATAGTGTCGGCCACGTAAGATACCATTATACAGATCAAGTCCAAAGGCTTCACTATGTAACACAAGGCACCAACGACGTACGTCAAATTGCAAATCCCTCCGAAAAGAGGGCCGAGTTTCGCCTTGCAGTCGGCCACTGCACCTTCGAAGACCCTCTGACATCTGTCGAATGGCGTGCCCAGCTTCTTGTTGCAAATATTCACGACGCTTCCGAGCCATTGGAAAACCGACGTAATTACTCTCACTGAGGAAAGGCCCCAAACCAATTGGATCACGAAGATGAATCTCGTCGCGAGCGTAACGTTACACTCACATATACTAAGCACGAGTCGTTTGATAGCCACGAGAGTCCGCTTGATCTTCCTCACGACCACCTTCACTGTCTTTATCACTTTCGATATCGCGTCTCTCAGAGCGTAGAAAGGCTGCTTTATCAAGTCGATCACGCTCTTTATAGCTTGCTTCAATTGCTCCTACGTGCATGCGTCACGACTTTAGTAACAGCGCGAAATAATAATAGTGCTCTCCACAAATGTGCGGAGAGACGAAGATGCTGACAGTTTGGAGATTGAACTTACCTGTCCACAGACTAAAGACTCCGAAAGTACACTGGTGTTGTGCAGGGTGTTCTTTCCCGGTCCGGTGAGCGTTAGAATAAAAGCATAAGCCATCAAGGTTTGCCTGCCACGTTTGGAAAAGAACTGCGGCAGTAATAGAAAGACGATGCATCTGCAGACGAGAAATAAGACGCTCTCACAGTGGCATTCAAGAGTTTTCAACGTAGAGCGGTCGCGTGTCGCTGTACGTCGCTTAATGTCGCTGAAATTCGCGCGGAATGTTACCTTACGCGATAAGAAAATGCCAATCCAAGCGTGAGAATCATTCCGAGTACCGAGCACAACATCGTGGCGGAGGTGAGGCTAAAGTTTAGTTGAAATACAAAAAACACAAAAAATATATACGTGAAAAATATACCGCCCAAAAATCCAAACACGCTCTTCAGAATATAATTCTCCAGCGAACCGTCGATACGAACGAGTCTCGCCTTTTTGTACAGCCAAGTATACTTTATAGAGGAAACAATTCCGCTCCAGAGATGTGTAAGCTTCTTTTTGTACCTGCGAAAATACGAAGAAGCAGTTAAAAATAGTACTAGGATTTACACACATGGTGTAAAATTGCAAAAGCTAAGTTGAAAATGATTTGGCGAAAATATGAATTCCTATATTCTTAGAAAAGAGAGAGGAAAGTTTTTCGAAGAGAGTAGATATTCATATCGACCGTGTGATAACTGTGAAAAGTTTACGATAACCTCTCACCTGAATCTCTTTCGTCGAAGACGTTGCTTCAAAGTGACAGACGGCTTGTCTCCTCCGAAGATCTCGATTGATTTCAATTTCTCATCTTCATATATCAATCTACTCTTTTCAAGTTTCCTAGCTTTCAGGACCAATTGGAAAAACGCCATATTCTTAAATACCGAACCGACCGTCTGTCGCTTATAAATTACATTAATTATTAGTTTGTGTAATGTAGTAACGTTGAACGCGATTCAATAAAACTGAAATTCGCTTCGACAAATTGCTTCCGCTTGAAAGCGTTCGGATGCTGCGTTGTTTCTGCGTGTCGCTAGTAGGGTTAACATACGCAAAGAAATGAAAGAAACGTCTTTAAAGACGCAAAGACGTCTCACACACGAAAGAGAAGCGACGCGAGTCGAGTCGACAGGTACATGCAGCCTGGAGATACAGAGATACGGTCGAATGTAGCCAAGTTTCGAGAATGGTTACCAGCGAATGATCATAGAGACAAGCGTCGGCAGTTAAGCGGTCGAGGATAAATCTAATCGCGCGTGAATAAGGCGAATAAGGGAATTCTTCTTGTGAATATCATTAAAATAATACTGCTAATACTGAGCGGGCAGACACGAGAACGAGTCGACGGTGTATTTCCTTTTTTTTTAAATTTATTTCTTCAGAAGCTATTTTCCAAAGGTTAAGGTAGCGAATTGTGGTTGCAAAAGCTGGAGACGAAAGTAAATGGGCTCTCAATGTGATGCCCTTCAATCATAAAGTAGTGCGAAGCAACGGAGACTACCATGGATAGGTATCGAGGGAGGCATTCTCGTCGTCTCGGAACGTTCCAACGGAATCCGTTCGACGTCAAACGTCGCCAGCATCGGTCTTCGATCCTTTAAAGAGGACCGCGTAATACTGGCGACACGTGTTGGAGCGAGACATCGATGTCAAGTCACCCGCACCGCGTCACGACGAAGGTGGGCGTCGAGGTCGCCGGAGAGGGGCAGACCGTATCTGAACCCGATAACGAGCCAGCTGGCGGCAGTGCCGTCGTTTACGTGGAGGTACGACTTTCGTGAAAACTCGCTGCTGGTCGGTGCTGTGCCGGATCGCTCCTGAAAGCAGGCCGAATCCTGCCTCGGAGAACTGAAGCCGCAGGCGGCTCTAACCGCGCTACTAGTTCTGGAGCCGCGCTCTTCGAAGAACGACAGACTCCCGCGCGCGGATACGCGCCAGAACAGAGGACAGGAGGGAAGAGCAAAAAGGAAAGGAGGAAAATAAACATGTCGTGAGCCCCCAGGTGACGTCCGAGATGTATACAAGCCGACCGAGTCGACGGTGCTCATAGCGCGTGCGGCTTTCGATCGGGCGAACCAATGCCGTAGACGCTTCGTCGGCGTCATCGTCGTCTTCTTGGTCGTGGCCGAGCGTGTATATATGTGTGCGGTGTACGATACACACGTGTAATCGTGTCGTGCCTCTGGCTGCTCGCTCCTGACCTATTCTACCTGATTCAGGTGCCAGGAGCCTGGACCGATCGCGATGACTACGAGGGAACTCTACGTTAAGGTATCGCGCGCATTCGGGGGAATCGAGCAGAGATATTGCCGTGGTACCAGGTGCGCATCCCCGATGAAGATGGCAGGTCGTTCCTATCGCGAAAACGCAAGTGATGGAAGGATGCGGGACCCGTTCGTGATTTAAAGGCCCGTTCGCGAAAACCGAAGGGGATCGACTCTGCGTTTCAAGGGGATGCTACGACTGGTTTCATATGGAGCGGGATCCGAGATCTCGATCGTTGAGTTCGTTCCGAGTCCGCGAGTCACTGAACACGTACTTCAGTCGTCGAGCAGCTTAGACGCTGCCCCTTTTCTATAATCCTCTCCGACTGATGCTTTAATCACTGTATACAAGTGTAGATGATCGCGCACGAAAATCATAGGGTTGAGATTGTCTCGATTAAGGTTGAACAATAGATTAAAATTGCAGATGTCGATCTTTGTAGTTGCGCCGTGCGAAACTGTAATCCAACTCCGTTTTTATGTGGTCGCTAAGCGTTAAGCGTGCAAACCTTTGACATTTCAAGTGAACGTATCTTTCTTGGGGTGTCACTGGGATACAGAAACAACTCTCGCGGCCCGGAGAGTTGTCACAACCCGCTGCAATTTCACCATCATTTCCTTTTTATTTTTTTTTCGGAAACGTGGGAAAACAAATTTTCAGCCTTTTAAACGATGCAAAATTCCAATCCGGTTATATGCAATCACTGACAACCAAGCGCAAATTATATAGTCATTTTATTTTATTTCAGCCATATTTTTTCACATATATATAAATGTACATATTTCTTTAATTAATTAATAAAAGCTAATTGTATTTGTTTAACGTGCTTGGTTTTTATAATATATACTCTCTCTCGTTCTCTTGCCCTCTCTGGACTTGGATTGTGGAGCAAAATTCATCTCTTTTCACCTTTCTTCTGTTATAATAACGCGAACATGTTCCCACCGTATATATTCAATTATGTAAATTATTCTTACTTCTCATAAGAAAATAACTTCTTCTTTCCTATTCCTCGATGAATCTCGCGCGTCCTAATTTAAAGCACTATCTCTCTAATATAAATCTATATGTAGATTCATCTTTCTGAAGACACATTTAATTGGGAACGTATCATCCTCTCAAGTTAGCGTTATATACGCGCACTGCCGTTTGGACAAGTACATTCTTAAATCTTGCCAATTTACTCATATCGCCAAACACTATGACACGCTATCATTCTAGAGTCAAAGACAACATTAAATCGACCTTGCTATTTAAAGCATTCCGAGTCGAACGAACTTTGTATGACCCCGCGAGTGTATACATATTTCACAATTCATACGGTTAATGTCTCTCTTCGAAAACCCTCTGAAAAACTCTAAAAGGAACAACTCGTAACAGACTTATATACTAGCAATGTACTATTTGAACACAACTAACATAGTTTGAAGAAATTCATTCTCCATTTCTAATGAAGCCAAAAGTTGGCAAAACTTTAGATTATTAAACAAGTTCTGCGTTAAATGTTCATTGGCGCAATCGTTCAATCACAGAATAACTAATGAAAAATAAATAGAAATATATATAACTTTCTGCATAACGATTCCGTTAATTACTCCCATGTGAAAAGATGGCGCGATTCTTTCGGTTCTCTCTTTTGGATTTCTTTCCAAATCTAAAATCAATAACTCTGCCAGAGCGAGAGTTTCCGTTGCTGGAGACCTAGTTTATATCAAATGGCATGACTGTAAAAACAGCAAGTTGATGATGGTATTTTCGATTAAAATCGACATACCGTCTCAAAATACGTATCACGGTATCACCTCAAAATAACTAGAGACCATCAAACATTTCATTAGTAATCCCCAAATTCTTGGAAATAAAATAATTTGAGATTTGTAACACAGACTATAGTTGTAGCTATTTTTGCGCAGCAGCTGTCAACTGTGAGATATCGCGATGTCGATGACCGAGCCCCCTGTCCATTATTCAGATTTTTCGCGGTGAAAATGAAATGTTTATAATCCCAAAACGTAAAGAACTGCAATGGTGATGATATCTTTTAATATCCAAAATCAAATAGTGAAAAATAAAACTTTACGCCAATTAATATGATGAAAAGATCGAGTAGACACAGGGATATTGCGGCGTGTAACGTAGATCGGAATTAGAAAGCGGTGATGAACGTGCGATAGAGCCTGTCTTTGGTTTACGCTATTCCCTCTAAGCTTAAGCTCATGACGCTTCTCCGCGCGTTGGTGGTTAATTTATCGATGTGACCGGACGAGGGTTGCCGAAGTCCCGTCATGGTTTCTGCTAAAACAGGTTTTCGCTTTTTCCTGTCCGAGAGTTCGAGAAACAGAACCATGACATCCACGCGGACATTATTACGAATAACATAGCGCTACACGTGCATGATCGCGCCAGTGTCAACAAATCTAGAAGTCTATTGAATCCTATATATTATCGGGAAAATCGACGACACTCTGAAAAAAGAAAACATTTAAAATCCACTATATATGTGGATCTTAGTCTGCTCGGCAGACAAAAGAGCACAAAATATATATGCGCTCTAAAAACGTCAAATGCACTCTAAAAACGTCAAAGTTTGATAGAGGAAGATGAAGAAATTTTCTGTCGTTCGAAAATAATTGCAAGAGCTTCGCGAAAGTTTTAATTTTAAACCAAGAAATCCGAGTAGAATATACAGTTGGGTGAAGTGACAGTAAAAGCGCGCAATGTTTTCGGGATTTAAACGATCGTCGTGACTATCTACGGGTGAAATATACATACCGCGGCCACGAGGCCGATCTTCTGGTCTTGGTGACGATGGAGGGCAAAGAGTGAGCAGCACGAGATATCCTCGTACCGAGACACATTGCTTTTCTGCAGCGAGAGAAAGGGATTCGCTTGGTGGTAAGCGTAGTTTGCCGATCGCGCCGGTCGTTCGTCGAGCTCAGATCACTCGTAGCGATCCTAGTTCACCTTCCAACGCACGCTAAAATAGTATTTTCCACTTTTCTTTTCACAAAGCAACGCATAAAATAGCATTGAATGAGATTTTCGTTAAAGGTCCCGAGTGAAGTGATCCATTAGTTATCGTTGCTCGATCGATGTGACGCTTATTATATTTTAGTTGCATAAATGTTGCAGGGAACGGACCTTTCTCTCGACGAACTATTCTCCCCGTACCAATTACCATGCGGTGGGTTAAAAGAAGTCAGTGTCTAAAAATCATCAAACCAAGCCTTTCTCATTCATATCGATCGCATCAGTCTAGTTTCCATAAGTGAGAAATTTATGTTGATTGAGCGCGTTTTGTAAGAGAAACGTTACCCCTTGCAAACGTTCGTTGCATTAAATAAAGCGTTACGTCGAACCTTTGTGATCTCTGTACACAGACGAAAGTTCCTCGCGGCGATATCCCACGGAAGCATTTCGCTTTACGAACGCGCAACCAACATCGCGCGCGCGCGCGCTTGAAGAGTTGCGGAGAGCTGCGTTCTCACGGCCGCGGCCTTTTCTTTGCTTCAACTAATGGCTATGCTCCACAACTAGATTTAAGATCAAAATATATATTTGAAACAACGATATCTTTGCAAACCGGACGCAGGTAAAGAGCAGCTAAACGTTTTTTGTATCGAAAAAATCCGTGACTGCGTGAATCACGCATTCCGGGACGGCTTCGTGGTGATAAGATTGTGACGCCCCTCCATTTGCCTTTACCTTGGTTTTAAATCGCATGAAATTGTTCGCGACTTGAACTATCGCGAAACATGAACAAATCGTCGCTGCCACGTATTACTGCGGATAAACATCACTACTGATCTGATAAAGTCCGACGCAAATACTAGCGAACGATTAATCGTATCACACATCGAAGGTTGAATAATTTGTTGTGCTTACGCTACATTGCTCTCTAGTAAAGTCAAGACTGAGAGCGTGAAAGGACAGAGAAATGTTGACGCGTTCGTACTAGCGATTCAAGAGCCTCGCGTGTGTGAAATGCAACGGAAGCCTTAGTTCGGTGGTCGCGATGAAGCTCAAATACAACACGAAGAAAGGTTGCGTTTCGTCCAACGTTTGAGTTATTCCGTAATGATTTGCATCAAGTTTCGAAGAAAGTACGTTGCTAACATTTGTATAATTGGAACACCGTTGACCAAACGCGAAAACGCGAGCTGTGATGAAAGCGTGCTTTGTAATAGAGGCTTTCTCAATTTTCAAGTAAGCGTTATTTATTTACGTTAATGAATATAAAGAGAAGAGACAAGTAGAGCTATTGCATTCGTTCAAGCAGGAACTTACTCGAATTTACATAGCAAAATCAAAGTGTATATGTCGAACAAGTTGTTTGTATTGCTAAGAGATGTACACGTGTTCGTTATTTCACAAATTCTTCTTTTGCTTTCAATTGATGCATCACATTGTAATGTTATTACGTAGAATGTACATCAATGCTTATTCGCAAAAGCTATACAAGATACCTGACAGTTATTGACCCACCGGTTGTATGCAGACCAAATTCATCAAATCTAAATACAAAATTTCTCTACCATTTCGCAAACAACCAGATTTTGAATTGTCAAACGTTTAAAGAAGATTTGTGAATGTGTGATCATGCGTGGTAGATGAGCTGTGACGGCGACATCTGCCGTATTATCGCGCGCATGCACCAATGATGCACCTATCTTCTTGAATAAATAACTAAAAAATTTACATGCTTTTTCGAAAAAGGGTAGAGGACTCTGTTTAGTTTGTTGAGTTCTACCTGCACATAAAGGGGATGTCAATGATTGGCAGACACCCTGTATAACGATTCCGTAGGCTCGCTTCGCTCGTGAATATTGGATTACGAATGACGTAATTGCACGCAATACGCACTGCAACTTTCTGAGACGCGAGCCCACGGATTTCGCGGATTACTCTTACGTTCCGAACATCTCTTCGATAAAAGGACTAGATGGGAACCCGGTAGAGCTCGTGCGCTTTTTTTCGTTCTTCCCGTGAGTTCACGTTGATAATTGGTGCCACTGCTCTACTGCGGTAGCGGCTACGGATATACTCGTATGTGTATAACGTAGAAAGCATGGGAACACCTTCCCAGGTGAATATGTCGTAACGGAATGAGAAAGCCGACAGAGATGCATATTAATCTATGTAATATCTCGACTCGCGTACGAGGAAAGAATCGCAAATTCACAATTTGGAAAAATACTCGGCGTGGAATAAAAATGGCTGAAAGTATCTCCGACCACACTGCTGCATTGACTACAAATCTGTACGATTCTTGGATCGGATTCTCCTGAGACATTCTCCTCGACTTAGCATACTTTATACATTTCCGACTACTTATCGATTCTTCTTTCTTCTCGAGCTCTAGTGCGTATCAGTGAAAGGCTTAGCTGGCATAGCAATGTTCTTTAAAGAGACAAATCTCTGTATCGTCAACGTGAAACTCTTTAATTTGTTTCATATTTGTTGACGATACAAAGGTATCTGTCTTTCTAAAGAATATTACTTGCTACATTGGCTAATTACCTAAGTCTTTTGATGTATGTATGTGTGTATATGTATTCATCGTTTTCTTTTTAAACAATGCAAATTTCAATACAATCAATTTCTTTCCTTTAATTGATACTATAAATATTGCAATTAATTGCTAATATACACTATCTTAATTTAATAATAACCAAATATAGCATCACGAAAAAAAAGATATGGACAACTAAACATAATTTTGTGTTGGTCACTTTTTCTTTGCTACGGGAACCAATTTCCTTGCTAGGATAACAAGAAAAAGATATGGACAACTAAATATAATTTGCTGTGATGACCACTTTTTCTTCGCTGCGGGAACCAATTTCCTTGCTAGGATAATAAGAAAATCTCCTGCAACAAAAAAAGTAGATAAAACAGTAAATTATGTTCATCTGTAGCAAATTTGCTATGTTAGCCACTTGTCTTTCTGTACGAACAGATTTTCTTGTTATCATAGCAAGGAAATAAATTCTAAAAAAAACTAGCTAACACAGCGATTTATGTTTAACTGTCCATATATAGCAAATTAGTTTGCTGCTGCAGCAAATCCTTTTTTTCCGTGATCGTATGTACGATGTATAGGAAACATATATAATTAATTTCTGACAAAAAATGGTTGACAAGTTGACAGTTTTGGCGGAACAACCAAAGTACGATGCGTAAGTATGTCACGACATTCGCCAACGTACTGTCGCATCACACAATGTAATTTTTTCATACATGTCGCAGGAAAATGCTCGGCGTAAATACGAAATATACGCGAAATGTAAGCGCCTTGCGGGTTATATGTGCAAGAAGCGAATCGATAGAAACAGACCAAGAGATAAGAAGTTGAATTATATCACGTCAGCGAGTTGGCGACAATTACGCCTTACCTGCTCACGTCTTTACTCCTGTTCCAGCCGGTGAGGCCGGTAGAACGATATATTGCGTAATTAACGAATGACACGACACGCGTATACAGGCCGCGCGCGAGTCCGTGGGAGTGAAGTTCAGGGTCGGGTATTTCGCCGCTTTCTAAATGCGTTTAATTGACCCGCGAGAAATACGACCGAACGATTAGTATCGCATAGTAATTAATAAGAGAGTAAAGGGACGTCTACATTAGAAGTAAATAGCAAGAAGTAGGAAGTAAGAGTAAGAAATTGATCAACCACAGTCGAATGTGAGAAAAATAATCAACTATGATTGGTAAATTTTTTATTCTTACTTCCTACTTCTTACTGCTTACTTCCAATGTAGACGTCCCTTAAAACTCGCATTATCGCGCATTCGAGTTGAAGAATTAGAGCGCCGAAGTGTCGGATCGCGAAGAGTCGCATTAAACATTTCACGTTTTTTTTTATTTTTTATGCGATCACAGTGCGAGCTGAGTATTACGTTTAATTTATTGTCGTCACGCGTACGGAGCTAGACACTTTTAACCCAAGCAAGATTAGCCGACGTGGTTACTGACCGCCGCGACGTTACGTTACTTACAGAATAACTCGATATGTAGGGCAGCGAAAGAGAAGTCGCGAATTTAACAGAAAAAGCGATTTACCGTTGCTCGAGATGGTACAATCGGTTGGTAAATCCCGATTCGCTTGGATGATATACGTATGATTCCGTTAACGAGCACAAAGGTTCATGGGGTTTAGCGGAGACATTTCTTCCGAGTACGCTCTTCCATCAAAAAGCGTTCTACGCGGAAAAAATAATTCCGTTGGTGCAAGCGAATTTTCGATTGCTCAGAAATCAGACGAAAACTCGTCTGTAGGAACAGAAAAATTCCTTTATGAAGTTTCTGTATAGTCAATTGTTCTTAGTTGCCTCAACCGAGTTCTAATATCGCTGAATGTTCAGATAAATATTTTTAGTTGCGACAACAGAAATATTAATTTTCATAACAGAGATATCGCTTCTGATCACTTAACTTTCAGTTGGTTCCTATTCGGTTGCACCAACTGAGATTTATCTTGCGTGTAGATATGTTTCGATGGATATGGCTTAGAGTGCACTACATTATTCGCGAAAGGGAAAGAAAGAAAAGCCGCGTCGCTCACTCGTTAGTCGCATGCGTTGCGATCAATGATCAATGATCAATGAAACGATGACACGAAATATCAAGTTGAAGGGATCGTGATTTGTACGGTCAAACGGTGCATCCACCGTATAAAAATGGTGCACGATACAATCGAGAAGGCAGAAAATTATATATTATGTTATACGGCGAATTGGAGCATTCGGTGACCGAATCAATATGTTTTTTGTCGTCAACTCCTTTTGCCGTTTCTACTCCAAAAGGAAAAGCGGGTCGCGTTTTCTTTACGATACTCGGAAAATGTCATCAGCCGATACAAAAGAGCATAAACCTGAAATATGCAAAGAGAATATCCGCGATGCCAGAATACTAGAATGCAATGATTTACCGCGCGTTACGAATTTCTGCACGACAGTAATGAGCTCATTATAAATCATTCGTATTAATGCGTCGCAGGGTGGCAGAGTATGGGTGCCACATCCGGAAAAGGTGTGGGAAGGCGCCGTGCTCCTGGACAACTATATACGGAAACAACCGTATCTGAAGGTACTGACAGACGAGTCGAATGAAACGAAATCGTTGGAGATTCGGTCGGACGCTGATCTGCCACCGCTCCGGAATCCCGACATCCTAATAGGAGAGAACAATCTCACGTCGTTGTCGTTTCTTCACGAACCCGCCGTTCTCTACAATCTTCAGGTTCGCTTTCAACGGCATTCCATCTATACCTACTGCGGCATCGTACTGGTGGCTTTTAACCCGTACAACGAATTACCCATCTACGGTAATGACACAATATGGGCCTACAGGGGCCAGGCGATGGGCGATCTGGAACCCCATATATTCGCGGTGGCGGAGGAAGCCTATACGAAATTGGAGAGGTGATTAATTTAGTCTCGTGTGTTTTTGCGTCGCGTGCGTGCGACTCGATTGATTCATTGGTCCCTTCTTCTCTAGGGAAAATCACGATCAGTCCATCATCGTTTCCGGCGAATCTGGCGCTGGGAAAACCGTATCCGCAAAATATACTATGCGGTACTTCGCGACCGTCGGTGGATCGGCGACGGAGACGCAAGTCGAGAAGAAGGTCTTAGCCTCGTCACCCATCATGGAGGCGATCGGTAACGCAAAGACCACCAGAAACGACAACTCCTCCAGATTCGGCAAGTTCATCGAAATACAGTTCAACAAAAACTATCACATCACCGGCGCCAGCATGAGGACTTACCTGCTGGAGAAATCGCGGGTGGTGTTTCAGGCGAACGAGGAACGAAACTATCATATATTCTATCAAATGTGCTCGGCGGCACGGCGCCTACCTCAGCTGCACCTGTATGATCAGGAGCGATTTTACTATCTCAATCAGGGTAATAACCCCAAGATCGACGGTGTGGACGACCTCGCCTGCTTTGACGAAACGATCACGGCACTGACCATGCTCGGCTTCACGTCCAGGCAGCAGGACGACATGCTGCGCATACTGGCGGCCATACTGCACCTGGGCAACGTGGAGATAAGCAGCCGCGAGACCAAAGACGCGGACGGCGAGGTGGACACTGAGTCAAGCTACATCTCGCTGTCGGACAGACACCTGCTCACCATCTCCGAGCTGCTGGGCGTCGACGTGAGCGCGATGCGAAAGTGGCTGTGCCATCGCAAGATCATTTCGACCAGGGAGGTCTTCCTCAAGCCGATGAACGTGGAGCAAGCAAATGGCGCCCGGGACGCTCTGGCCAAGCACATCTACGCCGAACTCTTCAACTGGATCGTGGCTGGTATCAACGACTCGTTGCAATCGCAGCCGAGCCAGGCGCAATACTTCATCGGCGTGCTAGACATCTACGGCTTCGAGACCTTCGAGGTGAACTCGTTTGAGCAATTTTGCATCAATTACGCCAACGAGAAGCTGCAACAGCAATTCAACCAACACGTCTTCAAGCTGGAGCAGGAGGAATACCTGAAGGAGGACATCGAGTGGACTTTCATCGATTTTTACGACAATCAGCCGTGCATCGACTTGATCGAGACCAAGCTCGGTATTCTGGACCTGTTGGACGAAGAGTGTCGGATGCCAAAGGGCTCGGACGCTTCCTGGGCGGAGAAGTTGTACGCAAAGTGCGGCAAGTCGAAGCACTTTGAGAAACCGCGTTTCGGTGCCACCGCCTTCCTAATCCATCACTTTGCCGACCTCGTGCGCTACGAGAGCGTCGGCTTTCTCGAGAAGAACCGCGACACCGTGATTGAGGAGCAGGTAGATGTGCTAAGATCTGGCGAGAACAAGCTGCTGAGGAAGCTGTTTAGCGACGACGATCCCGGCACTACCAAGCTGGTAGTGCCGCACGGCCAGCGTGTGAAAGTCTCGGCGGCTCAAAGAAGCGCGCCGTCCAGCGAGCAGAACAAGCAAAACAAACAGAACAAGAAGACGGTCGGTTCGCAGTTTCGCGATTCCCTCAACAAGCTGATGGCTACGCTGAACGCCACGACACCGCATTACGTACGTTGCATCAAGCCGAACGACGCGAAGGAAGCCTTCGAGTACAGTCCAGTCCGAGCGGTGCAGCAACTGCGAGCATGCGGCGTGCTCGAGACCATCAGGATCTCAGCTGCCGGCTTCCCGAGCCAGAGAACGTACAGCGACTTTTTCCAGAGGTATCGCTGCCTCTGCCGATTCAAAGATATACGGCGGGACGATCTGAAGGAGACCTGCCGTCGCATCCTAGCCAGATACATCAATGACGAAGACAAGTTTAAATTCGGCAAGACCAAGGTGCTTTTTAGAGCAGGACAGGTGGCTTACTTGGAGAAGTTGCGAGCGGAGAGGCAGAAGGACGCCTGCGTGATGATCCAGAAGACCGTACGCGGTCTCATCTATCGTAAAAGGTACGGAAAGATACGCAGATCGATTCTTGGTCTGCAGAGATACGGCAGGGGTTGCATAGCACGACAGAAAGCGGAAGCGGTGAGGAGGGAGAGGGCTGCCGTCAAAATTCAGGCGCGTGTAAAGGCCTGGCTGCAAAGGCGATGGTATATGCGCGTCAAACGTGCGGTGCTTGCCATTCAGACGCGCGGCAGGGGCAATATGGCTCGCGCCAGGTACAGGATCATGAAGGACCATGCCGCTGCGACGGTGATCCAGAGATTCGCCCGTGGATACCTTGTGAGAACGGCATGCAAGAAGAGACTCCGAGACATCACCATTGTGCAGTCGTGCATCAGAAAGTATCAAGCGAAGAAGGTGTTCAGGCGGCTAAAAGCCGAAGCCAGGAGCGTCGAGCACGTCAAATCGCTCAACAAGGGACTGGAAATGAAGATTATCACGTTGCAGCAGAAGATTGACGAGCTGGTGAGTTGAATCGAATGAGTTGTGTGTGTGTGTGTGCGCGCACGCGTGTCCACGCGCGTGCGAGAGCGTGTGGTTACTTCTGCTTACTCTGCACTTATATTATTCGTTATCGTTTCAGGCTAAGGAGAATCAGCTCTTGAAAAACGTTCAACACGAAATGGTGGACCTCAAGTGTAAACTGGATCTTTTGAAATCCGTCGACGTCGAAAATAAGAAACTGAACATAGTGGTACAGGACAAGGAGAAAGAGTTAAACAACATACGAGATATCTTGCAACAAGAGAAAGACGAGAAGATGGATTTGTTGCAAGATAAGGAGAGAACTGCTCGACAAAAGGACGAGGAAAACAAGAAATTGCAGGAGGACAATGAGAGACTGCGCAAGGAACTCTCACTCGCGACCGAGAAACTCAAGAGCAACCAGCGCGGCGCCGAGGAGAATCTAAAGTACCGGCTCGAGCAGGAGAAAGACTTGCTGTTGCTCGAGCAAGATCAGGATCGCGGAGCCTACCAGAGATTGCTCAAGGACTATCACGACTTGGAGCAACACGCGGAGATACTGGAACAAAAGCTGGCGGTGCATGTGCCTGGACATTCGCGTTCATTGAGCAACGCTTCCAGCAGCAGTGGTCAGATCGTATCCACGGAACTTCCGCAAGATGACCAAAACGTCGTAAGCCACAATGTTTTCTCTTCATTGCATTCGCATATTTATACTGATCGTTCCTCGCTCTTCTTCCTACAGGATTTCGGCTACGGTTCCGTGAGATCGGCTTCCTCGTCGACACCATACTCCCGAGTAGAGACCATCGACTGGAATCAACACCGTTCGGACAGTCCTCCAGATGGAGAAGTCCAGTCGAACAAATCACCCTCGGTGATCGAGACGGCTGATCCTGCGCATGCACCCGTTGACATCGGTCTTGTTCTCAAATTGCAACAAAAATTGAAAGACGTCGAGAAGGAGAAAAGCAGACTGATCAGAATGGTCGAGGATCTGGAACGTGATGGTGGCGAGGAGTCCAACAGAACACAGGATTCGTTCAGGGTATACTTCTTTTTGTGCAAATATTGAAGCGATCCAAATTATGTCGAATTACGTATATTTACGTATCGTACGTTATGTCATTGTTCTATCGCTCAGTTGGTTTAACGACGAGTCGGGATATAAACCGAGAACAATGTGATTCTCGTTTGCAGCTCCAAGAACTGGAAATGGAGAATGCGCAGCTCAAGAAAAACTTGAGCTCACTACGGAAGACTGTGTCGTTGTCGGCCAGCCCAGCATCTGCGCAACAAAATCTTATGAGTAATTTATTACTATACTTAGTAACTCGCTTCTGCATTATGTCTACTGAGAATCGTACACACTGCTTTTTCTATATAATATGTCGATCACCTCTTCCAACACTCAACATTTGGGCACACGATAAACACATTGGACATCTATTCATTCTCTACACTTTTCTCTACATTCTCTACTCGACATACCTCCTTGTAGTTTGTCACGTTTAACGTTATCGGTGATTAGTTAGACCGCTACAGAGTTACATATTTCATTCCCCGTTGTTTAAAAAAATTGCAGTTTTTTTAATGACACTTAACATACACTCACTTATGCCTGACAACAATAGTTAGAAAGTAGTGATAAGAGATAATACTGACATGACGATATTGTAGCGCAATTTGAAGCGTTGCAAGAAGAACTGGAAAGAAGAAGAGAAGAATGTATTCAGCTGCATAGCGTACTAGCTGACCATACGCGCAGAATGAAGAGCTTGGGTGCCAATTACGGACGTGACGTGGACATTATAAACGAGGACGGCGAGCTGGTGCTTGCCTTCGAGGCGCAAAAGAAGATCAATAGGTAATGTGGAATGAGATGCTCGCTTAATACGAGTGACCCAATAACTATTACGTCGTGTCTAACAGCAGTCTTTTGTCGTTTGTGCATGCACTTCAATTTTCAGTAAACTTAAGACAAACCAAAAGGCATCGAGAGGAGAGTGAGTTGAGCAGATTCACGTGCCATCCGTTCGAACGTTGTTGAACTGTTCAATCGAAAGAGAAAGAGGGAGAAGGGGAGCGCGCGCGCCACTTAGTAACTTCATCATTTTATTAGTTTTCGATCGTCACACCTCTCCACGGCGGACCGTACTTTGATATTGCATAACATACGTATCGCGATTAGGGTAACGGGCATGACTTCACACACTCGGCACAATTTCGTCAAACGAAATTTCATTTGCGATTGAACAATTCAATACATTGGTCGCACTAATGATCACAAAAAGTGATGAGTCTTTATCGTTTGTTTTCAAGACAACTGGAGGATGAACTGCAAGCCAAGGAGAAGGGTTGGCGATCGCAAAGGGACGAATGGAGAAACGAGATAGACAGACTGCAGGAGGAGATAGAGAGACAGCAGAAGCTGCTGTCCATTAACTTGAGCAAATCACCGCAAACTCAGGCGGAACTCTATATGCAACACGAGGTTGCCAGGCTAACGACCGAAAATTTGGTAAAACAATCGAAACACTACTGCTACTACTACTATATAGTCGTGTCGACTATGTATAATAATATCTCGCAATCGTCTAGCATCTTTAATGTTAAACTCTGTGCATGTTGAAGGATCTTCAAGAGAAATACGATAAAATGGCGGAAGAATGCCGGCGCTACAAGAAGCAATGCAGAATCCTGGCGAAACGGCTCAAAGATGCTGGCTGTAAGTATAGTAGGATAAATATAGGCTTGCCGAAAAAAGTCAGAGTATCGCTTCAGCGATACATAGCGCGCGAGCAGAAGCGGGTCACTCGCGTCGAGTGATGCCATTGTTATTACTTTACATCGAGTATCATTTCAATCCAACGCTTTCAAAGACGAAGGAGATGACGTCAGGGAACGCCCGTACGTGTTAAGAGGCGCCGGTGAGTGGGTGATCTTGACGTATATCATCCATCATCGTCTCATCTTGAACTCTATCCGAGAAATTGAAAATCGTGCTGGAAAGCGCAAGATACGCACGCAAATTTCTCAGATAGTTTGTGACAATCGGGTCGGGACAATCGTTTGTGACAACATTTGCGACAATCGTTTACACCTAGTGCCAAGCATGCGGCACAGAGAGTTTGACGTCTCCTCAAAAACCTTTGTATCAAATACACCAAATACAACAAAGATTTGAATATTTCAGTGCCCAACGCGGTAGAATACGCGAGTGGTTCCGGCGGAGCGGTTTCTACTACTTATGGCGACGGTGCGAGTAACATGCCCGTCATTCGGAAGAAAGAAAGGGATTACGAAGGAATGTTCGAGTTCCGAAAGGAGGATATCAACGTGATAATACGTCATCTAGTGTTCGGTGAGTGTTCGAGCTTTCTCTCGAACTTAACGTTCATTGTATCTTTGTACTTATTCATACGCGACCTTGTCTTCATCCGTTTCAGACTTGAAACCCCGGATAGCGGTGACGCTATTGCCAGGCTTACCGGCCTACATCCTTTTCATGTGCATCAGGCATACGGATTGCATCAACGACGACGACAAGGTCCGGTCATTACTGACCGAGTATCTGAATGTAGCAAAGCGCGTGATAAAGAAACGCGACGACTTCGACACCAGGGTGCTCTGGCTGAGTAACACCCTGAGGCTGCTGCACAACATGAAACAATATTCCGGCGACAAGCCGTTCCAGATCGAGAACTCACCCAGACAGAACGATCAGTGCCTGAGAAACTTCGATCTCAGCGAGTATCGCGTCGTGCTGAGTAACGTGGCGCTCTGGGCCTTTAACAACATCGTGACGGGTCTCAAAGAGAGAATTCAGCCCCTGACGGTGCCGGCGTTGCTCGAGCACGAAGCTATATCCGTTCCCCAGTCCGACAAAACCGGCCGACCCAGGTCATCGTCCATGGGCGGCGAACCGGACTCTACCCAGCAGAAGTTGGACAAGCTGCTCGACGAGCTGACATCGGTACACAAAACCCTGCAATATCACGGCGTAGACCCCGAGATCGTGATGCAACTGTTCAAGCAACTCTTTTACTTCATGTGCGCGAGCGCTCTCAACAACCTATTGCTGAGGAACGAGCTCTGTCGATGGACGAAAGGCATGCAGATAAGGTACACAGAAGGAGACCCTTAGCTTCTTTGTTCATTTGTCCACGAGACGAGAAACTCAAACTTTGGATTTCAGGTATAACATGAGTCATCTGGAGCAATGGGGCAGAGACCGAGAATTGGAAGCTGCATCGGAAGCATTGCAGCCCATCATACAGGCGTCGCAGCTTCTACAGGCACGCAAGACGGACGAGGACGTCAATTCTGTCTGCGAGATGTGCAACAAATTGACGGCCAACCAAATAGTAAAAATCTTAAATCTATACACGCCCGCGGACGACTATGAGAGCAGAGTTCCTGTTTCGTTTATCAAGAAAGTACAAGAGAAACTGAAGGAGCGCGGCGAGAACAACGAACAGGTGAGTGCTGCTTCGCAGAGGTCGATTGAAGATGAAACGGATGATACGAGTAGTGTTTGACTCGTATTTCACGAATATCTTTGTGAAACTGTGTTTCTTTCTTTTTTAGCTGTTGATGGATCAAAAATTCTCTTATCCAGTAAGATTCCCGTTCAACCCATCAGACATTCGACTAGAAGATATCGAAATACCCGAGGTGCTTCATTTGCCTATGCTCAAGAAGGTATAACGAGACCCCGATTCCACCGTATCGTCTTTAGTCGAAAATTTCACTTTGGTTATTCGCGAATACCCAAACTCGCGCTTAGTCCTTTCAAAATTGGAGAGAAACTTGCGAGAAAAATTCTGCGATATCGATCGATTGGAAAGTTAGATATAGTTAGACGCATCGAGCGATATACATCACGTTTTATACGTTTCTTTTTTACTCGGGTGATTTGTAGCTTATGATGTGTCTCTCCGAATCGCGCTCACGCGTTTCGAGTCAATTCCGTTGCATAGATAATTGAATAATCGCGCGAGATGATCGAGAAGGAGCGTATTTTCCGTTATTGTTAGTGTACAGCGTTGTACGTTGAAACGCGCGAAAAAGAGGAAGAGTGTGTCAAAGAGAGAGAGAGAGAGAGAGAGAGAGAGAGAGAGAGAGAGAGAGAGAGAGAGAGAGA